CCCTCGCACCGCTCAAGCCATGTGCCGCGCGCCAAGCGCTGTCGCTAGGCCAAACGAGTGCGGCGTATGTGGCAAGCGCCCCGACCGCGCAGCACGGCGGCGCAGCGAGCCATGCGGGAGACGCACGGGCGGAACGGGCGCGCGAGCAGCTGTGGGTGGTGGGGGAGGTCGAGGAGTGCGCGGGCGGGGAGGAGGGGGAGCGGGCTGCGAGCGAGTGTGTGGGCACGTGCCCCGACATGTGCCCTGGTGCGCGCGCGCCCCTCGCTCACGCGCACTATACCGCGCGTCCACGCGCACTCCCCGGCCACGCACAGCGCCGCCTGCTCGCTCGCTCGCTCTCTCGTTCCCTCTCCTCTCTTCTTTCTCTGCCGCGCACTCTCTCCCGCCTTTTACCTCGTTCCTCCGTCTGTCCTTCCTAGTCTTCCGCTCATCAGTCGTCCCCTCACCACCTCCCTCTCGTCCTTGTCCCACTCCCCCATCGCCCAATTCCCCCAAATCATCCCCAGTTCCCTCCCCCCTCCCCCTCTGCTCCCGCATGTGCGCAATGGCGGGCAGCGAGGGAGCGCGCGGCGCGCGAGCGGCTGAGGGACCTGGCGGTGTTCGAGCGACGGCGCGACGACCCCTTCAGCACGTCGCCGCTGCTCGCCGTTAAGAAGGTGCCTCGCCCCGCCCTCCGCTCCTCGCCCCCTCTTCCCTCGCGCTCTCCGACTTCCTCGCTTCTTCGCTCTTCGCCTCCCGCGCTTACTCGATACACCAGTCACGCGCCATACTTGTCGATCTCAACCCCGTTCCGCACCCTCTCCCCCGACCCCCCCCCCCCAGTTCTCCCGCACCCTGGGCGCTGGCGGCGTGGCTGTGCCGCGCGACGAGATCCGCCCGCCCGCAGTGCTGATGCGCGCACTGGCGCACCTCGTGCGCATCGTTGGGGGGGAGGGGACTGGCGCAGGCCACGGCGGAGGGCGGGGCGCGGAGCGCGGGGCGGTGGTGCTGGGCGAGGGGCGCATGAGCGAGAGCGTGTACGAGTTTGTGAGCGACCGCATGCGCGGCATGCGGCAGGACATGGCCATGCAACGCATCCATGGCGCCCAGGCCGTGCACCTGCTCGCACCCATGGTGCGTTGTGTGTGGGGGGAGAGAGGTGGGGTGGGGGGAGCGACAAGTGTTTGGAGTGAGGGAGCTTGGGCTGAAAATCACCATCCTCTTTCTCGTCCCATCCCCATTTCCATCCCCATCCCCATAACAGGTTCGCTTCCATGCAGCAGCAGCATACGAGCTCGCCACGGCCCCTCCCCAGGCAGCCCCTGCAGCCGCGCGAGAGGCAGGGACTGCTGCTGCGGGCACGACAGGCAGGGGTGGCAGTGGTGGGGGCAGCAGTGCAGCGTGGAGAGGGAAGGGTGGGGGCAGAGGCGAGGAGGTGGCATCAGGCGCAGGCAAGAGAGGCACTATCACTTCCACCTGTGTCCCGTCGTCGCCCTCACCGTCAGCGGTGCATCGGTTTGACGCGCATCTGAATCTGAAGCATCTGGCGGAGGCGCTGCGCAGCCTGCTCTTCGCCTTCTCCACGTGCCGCCACCATGCCGCCTCTGCCCATGCACGCAGCTCTGCACCCAGCAGCAGCAGCACCGCCACACGCGGCACGAGCAGCAGCGGTGGCGTGTGCACGCGCACAGGAGCAGCCACGGACCAAGGCGGTGGGGTGGAGGGGGGTGAGGCGGTGGATACCTGGGGCGATGACTCGGGGTCAGTTGCAGATGCGCAGGGCGTGAGGAGGGCAGCGAGAGGCGCAGCGCTGCAAGGGGCAGGAGCAGGTGGGAGGAACGAGGAGGAGAAAGCGGTGGAGAGCTGGGAGGAGAGAGAGGAGGAGACGTTGGAGGGGGGTCGGGTGGGAAGTACAGCTGGAATGGCAGCGGTGGAGGCTGGTGGTGGAGGTGGTGGGGAGGAGGTGGAGGAGGAGGATGAGGAGGATGAGGAGGGAGAGTTCACGTCGCTGTATGTGATACTGCACATGGCGCCTCACTCGCACATGCCCACGTGCGAGTCCCTGGCGCCCATGCTCTCCTCCCTGCGCCCCTCCCTCCTGCGCTCCCCTCACATGCGCCTCGCCCTCTCCCTGCTGCGGTGCGCCCTCCTGCTGGGTGATGGGGGGTTGGGGAGGGCGATGGGGGAAAGGAACGGGGCAGGGAAAGGCGGGTGGGTACAAGACATGGTGGGCCCGGGAGAGCATGGTGCAACGAGAGGGTGTGGAAGAAGAGAGGGAGCAGAAAGATGGGGGGATTGCAGTGAGGGTTTTAGGTGGTGATGCAGAAGGGGCCTTGATGTCAGCAGCTGGAGTTGCGTTGAAGCCATTTCCCCATCACTGGCCAGTGCACTTACCCATCCTTCTCTCCCACACTTGCTTCGTTTGTCCAGTTGCTACAGGACAAACAACGCCATCCGCTTCTTCCGCCTTGTGAGGCAGCGAGCTACGTACCTTCAGGCGTGTCTGCTGCACTTTCACTTCACTGCGGTCTGTGCTCTGCCCTGCTCTACTCTACCCATCCCTGCTGAATCGTCCTGCTCTCTTTCACACACCACTCCACTAATGTCAGCATCACAGAATCTGTTACCCCTGCACCAACTCACGTCCCCACGTCCCTCACCCACCTGTTTCCCTCGTCCGCTGTCCCCCACCCTCCCAACGCCCCATGCCCGTTCTTCCCAATCTCTGCAGCTGCGCTCGGTGTTTCTTAAAGCAATGCATGCGGCAGGGTACCGCCAGCACCCCATCCCTCTGCACCACCTTGTACCGCTCCTCCTCTTGGTCCGTTGCGCCTCCGCTCCCTATCCCCAACCTTCACTCTCCACTCTCTACTCCGCCCCTCTTTTTGCCGCACTCCACTGTCACCTTTAGCTACCTTCAATCTTCCTCTTCACTCCTACCTCCACCCTCATGCTGTGGGCCATTCACCCCCTTGATGTCCATCCATCCCTCTCCACCCTTCTTCTTTCCACACCAGGATTCAGAGGAGCAGGTGCAGGCCCTGTGTCGGCAGCTGGGCATGCCCCTCACCCCTGTGGACGCCTCCCCGCCCTCCCACGTGCCTGCCTCTGCCCCACCATCCCTCGCACCAGCCTCCCCCATGGCCCTGGTGCCTCGGGAACCCCTGCACCCAGCAGTGCCAGCAGCGGTGGGGGAGGGCAGTGGCGGCATGATGCCGTGCAGTGTGGTGGACGCTAAGAGAGTGGGCTTTCGCCTTGCCTCGCTCCCTGCTCCCATGTAGGCATCCTCTGCTGCACCTGGGTTTGCAAGTCAACATGATTGTGCCTCACAGACTCAATCTGAAACCAGTAGCTTTGGTGGTGTGGTGGTGCCTCTGCCAAACCCAACCCTTCATATTTAACCATGATGAATTTCATATCTGCTAATGTACGGTATAACTTCTCTATCTGCTAACATGGTAAACAACAATGCCTACATCTACAAGTGAATAATAAGTCAAGTTGGTGTCTGTGTGTCACTTGCAGCCTTAATCTGTTGGGAGTGATGGACCCTAGCTGCTTGTGTGCCGCACCAGCGGTTGATGTGCTGCAGCACGTGTGGCAGTGAGAGCAACACACGAGTGCTGGCCATGGCATGGGCGGGAGCGGCCACGGAGTGTCACTCTATGGCATGTCCAACTCGCTGCGAGGCTGCACACACAAGGGGAAGAGACAGCACACGAAGGAGGGGAACGAGGGAGATGGTGAGCGAGATGTGATGCTGGTGGGGAAGGAAAGAGAGGAACAGCACAGCAGTGCGTGCACTGCAACACAGTTACTGTGGCGCTTGCAGATCACTGGGCAACCCGGTTGTAACATACCTGCACTCTGGATATATTACAAGCTGCAACGTGCAGCACACACCACAGCTTAATCCATGCCCGTGCGTATGACGCATGCCCCATGCACCACACACCAAGCAGCATGTGGTTGCAACCCACCGTGGCGAGCAGCAGCAGCAGCCAGGCGTGCAGCAGCAGCCAGTAGGCGGCCACAGCGATGCGCATGAGGGGCCGCGACATGAGCACTCGCCCCGTTGACACACTGCCCATGGTGGCGGCACACGTGGCAGGGCGCATGGGGCACACGGGCGACCATGGGGAGTGGTCAGGCAAGTGGACGTGGGGTATGGATGCTGGATAGAATGGGATGAGCGGGTGCTGAAGGGGAGTGAGTAGAATACAGGTGACAGGGCAGTGGGATGGGAATGGGGAAGTGGAGGTGACGCAATATCATTGCAGGGGGGTAGAGAATGGGGCAGGCGGCGGAGGAGGAGGTGAGGCACGGAAGTGCATGTGGGGGAGGCAAGGACGGGAGTGCGTACAAGAGACGGTCGATGGTGCGAGCAGCCGAGTTGAGGGGCCGAGGTAGAGAGCGGAAGGCAGTCACTATGGGCGTGAATCCTTGCACTGCAACGGTCAGGGGTCCATTGGGGGGGGCACAGAAGAGCGACAGGAGAAGATGTATCTTCACACACAGACTTACATCCGACGTAGAGTGCAGGGCTGAGCAGCTAGGTCAGAAAAAGAGAGGAAACGGCAGAGGGAGGAGCGGGGTGAGAGAGGAACATGGATAAGCCGCAGAGAGAGCAAGGAGATGCATGTTACGCCCATAAGCACTGCCACGCTAAGGGTTGGTTGCCTGCCACGCATGGGTCCCCTGGCAGCACAGCACCTTCATCGTCGCCCCGTGCATGTGTGGCCGCCTCAATGTCCACATGGACTGCTGCCGATGCCGCACCAGCAGCCGCCGCTGAGGGGGACGAGGAGGATGAGAGCGGGCGCAGGTTGCTGCTGGGGAGCGCAGCAGGGGAGGCCGTGGAGGCAGAGGCAACAGCGGGGGAAGGGGCTGCACGAGAGACGAGAGGCGGCGAGAATGGGGTGTGGGCAGGGCCAGGCTGGGGTGGCCGCTTCGCGGGTCGCTCGCCCTCCCTCTCCCGCTCCCGGTTGTCCCTGGGTGGCTCCTGTGATCGTGGCTGCTGCTCCCTCTGCCGGTGCTGCACATGGTGTCATAAACAAAGAGGTTGGTGGGAAATGAGCACAGAATGATTGCTCCAAAAGATAAAAGCGCAGGGACTGTAGGCCATCCAGCAAAGGCGCACAACCACATGGAATTAACAATACTGTGTGCAAGCCCTTGAGTGCAAGCACAGTGCCCTGCACCCCGTACACTCACACTGTCGTCTGTCTCCGACCTCGACTCCCCTGAGCCTGCCTCCATGCCCCCTCCTGCACGCCTCTGTGTCTCGGCACTGTGCTCGCTGCAGGCAGCCAGGGAGTGGCGCAGCTCCTCCAGTGCCAGCAGCAGCTTCTCTCTCTCCCCACTGGCGTGTCCCTTCTCCACCAGCAGCGCCTCTATCTCGCCCATCAACCCCTCCCTCTCCGCCACCAGGCCCTCCCGCTGCACCAACACCTGCTCCCTCTCCTCTGCTAAAGCATCTCTCTCCTTCATCAGCACGTCCCTTTCACCAACCAGCACATCCCTTTCACCAATCAGCACATCCCTTTCACCTAGTAACATGTCCCTCTCACCAATTAACACATCCCTTTCACCAGCAATAAAATCTCTTTCACCCATCAACATATCCCTTTCCGCCCTAATCTCATCCCTCTCTGCTCTAATCTCATCCCTCTCTGTCCTGATCGCATCCCTCTCTGTCCTCAATTGCTCGTTCTCTGTCTGCAGTGCCTGTGCACGCGCCTCTATGTCACCCATGCCCTCCTGCACCCCCGCAAACTCCTTTGCCGCCCCCACCTGCTGCTCATGCTCGTGCCGCTCCTCCTCACGCTGCTGCAGAAACAAAAGCGCCACACAAGGATTTATTCAGAAAGAGGAAAGATAGTGGAACAAGAAGCTTCCAGAAGAGCAACAGATTCGAACGGAGCGCAAGGCATCCAGCACTCACCACCTGTGCTGCACCCGTGGTCGCTCCACTCGCCCTCAGCGCCTTCTCCACACCACCATCGCTCCCTGTAACCACCAGTCCAGCTGCAGGCCTCTCTTCGCCTCCTGCTCCAGCTGCAGCAGCAGCAGCAGCGAGGGCAGCGTCGAGTTTGGCTGTGACCTCCACCAGTTGAGCCTGCTGTGCCTCCACCTGCCCCTGGAGCACCTGCACCTCCTCTCTCGCCTGCCTCCTCTCCTCCTCCCACTGCCGCACGGCAAACTTTGCCTTTTGCAACTGCCCTTCCACCTGCATGCGTGCAGAGGTGGGAGGAATAAGGTACGGGGGATAAGGGTGCAAGGAAATCGCATGGCACAGGAAACACAAAGGCACGCGTGGCAGCACAGGGGTGAGACGGGCATGGCGCATGCATGCTGCACGTGGTACTGAAGCACAAGGGCAGCGGTAGGTGCGGAACGTGTGGGTGGAACGGGGACGTGAGAGGAGCCCACCTCTTCCACGCGCTGGGAGGCCGCACCAAGGCCCTTCTCCGCCTCCACTCTCCGCTCCTCCGCTCGCTGCCCCTCCACTGCCCTCCTCTCACTCTCCTCCCTCCACCTCTCCGCCTGCTCCGTTGCTGCCGCCGCCTGCTGCTGCTCCTGCGCCAGTGCTGATTACAGGAGGGCGGAGGAGGAGAGGTACACAGAGAAAGCAAGCAGAGCAAGCGGCACAGGTTGAGGTCATGGGGAGAGGGCACTCATGGTGAGTGGCAGCATGGCCCTAGAAACAATGCAGAGAAGCTGTGGACATGTGGGGCACACGGAACCATAGCACCTCGACAAGGCTGAGACCCAGGGCATAGGACGGGCTTCTGAGCTGCCAACGAAGCAGGGCGAATGGTGTTGGTGAGTGGGCCGTTACATCTGATCGGGAGTGATAGGAATGGTGCCGGGAGCGTAATACCACCCAGCCACTCACCTTGCTCCAGTGCAACCACTTGCTGCGCGCTGCTGGCCCGGCCTCGCTCTGACTCCTCCATCTTGCTCTGCCACTCCGCCACACATGCCGCCATCGCCTCCTCTGCTGCCTGCCTCTGCTGCTGCGCCTCCCTCTCCAGCTCGCCCACCCGCTCCTCCAACACCCCCACTCTCCCGCATGCACTCGCCTCCCTCCCCTCCACCTCCTGTAGCTTCTCACGAAGTTCTCTTGACTCGTGCCGAACCTGCTCCAGCTCATCCACTGCCTTCGCCACCTCAGCCTGCGATTGAGCCAGCCTGTCCTGGGCGGCAGCCAGCTCAGCCTTGAGTGCAGTCACCTCAGGCTCCACCTTCTTCCGGGCGTCCTCCTCCGCCTTCCTCATCTTCTCCACTGCCTTCTTCTTTATGTTCTCCTCCCGCCTCTTCCCTTCCTCCTCCTTCTTCTTCACCTCCTCCCTCAACCGCCCCACCTCTGCCTCCAGCTCGCCCACCCGTGCACTCGCCCCCTCTCCGCGGCTCCCCTCCCCCTCCTTCTCCGCCTGCATGCCCTTCACCAAGTCCTCCAGTCGCCTCCTCTCCGCCTCCGCTGCGTCCACCTGCACCTTCCATGTGGCCAACTCCTCCTGTGCACCACTCACCTGCTGCTCTGCCTCCGCCCTCACCCTGCTCGTCTCCTGCTGTGCTCGCTCCACCGCACCCTTCAAATCCCCCACCTCTTTCTCAAGCGCCGTCACCTCGCCCCTCAACCGCCCGTTCTCTTCTGCCTCTGTGCCTGCCCTGCCCTGCAGCTGCTGCACCTCGCCCTGCAGCGCCTGCACCTGGGCCTGTGCCGCCTCCAGCTGTTGCTGCAGTGCCGCCACCGTCCGTTCAGCGGTCAGGCGAGCGTCCTCCATGGCTTTGCCCTTGCGCACCGCCTTGTGCAGCTTCTCCCGCACCGCCGCCACCGCTGCCTCCGCCTTCGCCGCCTCCTCCTTCCACCGCCCTGCGTCCGCCCCCGCCGGCGCTTTGCCACCTCCCCCCTTCGCCTCCGCTGTGTTGGGTAGTGTGTCTGCTGTTCCATTGCCTGTCCCATGCATACAAATCCCAAACCCAATATCACAAGAGCATAGAGCGAGCACAAAGGGATAGTGGCAAGACAAGTGAGAAGATTGTCGAGTCATGCGGCATGTGCAAAAAAAATACCAGGGCATAAGCACAACCGAACGGCATGGCAACAGTGGCACTACCCACCTGCTGGCGCTGCCTTGGTGTGTTGCAGCTGCTGCAGCTGCCCCTCCAGCTCCACCACCTTGGCCTCTGCACCCACCACCTTGCCTCGCAGCTCCTCGGCACTCGTCTCAGCGGCCTCCCTCGCCGCCACAGCAGCATGCACCTCGCTCACAAGCCGCTCCACCTGCTGCTCCTTCTCCCGCACGCGCTCCTCTGCATCCCGCAATGCCTGCTGCACTACCTCTGCCTCTGCCGCCCCATGCTGCCCATCCCCCTGCCCTGCACTCTGTGCTGCAAGCTCCTCAGCCCTCGCTGTGGCAGCGGCCGCTGCGGCCTGTAGAGCTGCTGCCTGGGTCTGAAGCCCCTCAACCTCCGCCCTCAGCTTCTCACATCCCTTCTCTGCCTCATCGCATGCACGCTGTGCCGCCTGCCACTCCTCCTCCTTGCGCTTCACCTCGCCATTCAGGTCCTCCGCCTTCTGTCTCACTTGCTGCAGCTGCTCCACCACCGATTCCTTCTCCCTCATAATCTCACCTTCCCTCCTCTCCCACGCTGCCTGCATGCCCGCCCACTCCTCACTAACTACTCGCCTCTCCTCCTCCCATGCTCTACACTGCTCTTCCTTCGCCACCAGCGCCCGCTCCGCTGTGCTCAGCCGTGCCTCAAGCCCCTCCATCGCAGCACCTCGCCTCTCGCCCTCCATCCTCCGGCTCCTCTCCTCCTCCAGCAGTGCCTCCACCTCGCCTATCCGTCGCCTGCATTCCACCACCTCGCCTTCCTTCGCCTGCACCTCCTTCTGCAGCCGTGTCCTCTCCTCCTCTGCCGTCCGTTCAGCGGTCAGCCTTGCGTCCTCCATGGCCTTGCCCTTGCGCACCGCCTTGTGCAGCTTCTCCCGCACCGCCGCCACCGCTGCCTCTGCCTTCTCCGCCTCCTCCTTCCACCGCCCTGCCTCCGCCTCCGCCTCTGCCCGTGCCTTGCCCGCCCCGCCCTCTGCCTCCTGCAGCTGCCCCGTCAATTGCTCTACCCGACCCTCCAGCTCCTTCACTGCGCCCTCCAGTCGCCCCTTCTCCTCTTTCTCAGCGTCCCTCTCCTCTGCCACTGCTCTCTGTGCGTCCCTCGCAGCTCCACATTCCACCTCCAGTGCCGCAATGGACTTGCGTGCTTCCTCCACCTCGCCCTGCACTCTCATCACTGCTGCTTCCAGTTCATCCTTCTCCATCTGCACTCTCTCCCGCTCCTCTCTCACTCTCTCCCTCTCCTCTTCTGCTGCAGCAAGTGCAGCCTTCACTGTATCTCTCTCGCTCTCCAGAGCCAAAACCGATTCCTTCAACTCTGTCACTTCTCCATGGAGCTTCTTCAGTGCCCCATCAAGTTCAACCCGCTCCTCCATCAACCGGTCTCTCTCTGCTCCCGTTTCAGCACCAGCAGCTTTCACTGCCTCGCTCTCCTTCTGCACCGCTGCAATCGCCTCCTGTAAGCCTGCCACCTCTGCTTGCAGCTGTCTCACCACTGCCTGCTCCGCCTCCACACGCGCCTGCAAGCCTGCTTCCACCATCGTTGCAGCAGCTCCCACCTGCTCCTGCAGCCTCGCCACCTCTGCCTCCAGCGCGGCCCTGCTCGCCTCCACCGTTGCCTGTGCCTGGCACCGCTCCTCCACGTCCTTTGCATGCTCGCCCCTCACCCGCTCGACCTCCGCACACAGCTCTCGTGCCTTCTCCTCCAGAGCTGCCACCTGCGCCCTCAGCTCTGACTCCTCTGCTCGCCATGACGCCTCTGCCTGCTGCCTCTCCTCCTCCATCGTCCGTAGTTTAGCGTCCGCCTCCTCTTGCACCTTTGCTACCTCTTGCTTCACCCCCACCTCCTTCTCCTCCTCCACCCGCCGTCTTTCCTCTTCCTTCTCCTTCTCCCTCTCCTTTCTCTCTGCTTCTCGTTCCGCCTCCCTCTCCTTTTCCTTCTCTCTCTCAACCTCTCGCTCTCGCCCCCACTCTGTCTCTTTCGCCTCCATCTCCCTCCTCACAGCCTGCACCTCCTCTCGCAGCCCCTCCACCACCTCACCTGTCCTCGCCACCTCTCCCTGCACCTCTGCAAGCCTCTCCTCAACTGCCTTCTTCTCTCTCTCCACCTCTTCCAAAGCCTCCCGCACTTCTCCCAACCTCTGCTCACCCGCCTCTCGCTCCCTCTCAGTCTCCTTCCTCGCCTCCTCAGCCGTCCCCTTTGCCTCCTCCACAGCTCTCTCCAACTCCGTCACCTGCACCTTCACCGCCTGCACCTCGCTCTGCGCCTCGCTCACGCGCCTCTCAGCCTCTTCCCTCGCCTGCTCTGCTTCCTCCCTCGCCTTCTTCACAGCCGCAGCCACCACACTCTCCCTCTCCGCTTCCGCCCTCGCCAAAGCTGCCTCGCTCGCCTCAACCTGCTTCTTGAGCGTCTTCACCTCGCCCTCCGCCTCATTCACGCGCTTCTGCAGTGCATCCCTCTCCGCCCTCACCTTCGCATCTCCTCCGCCACCCTTCTTCCCCTTCTTCCCGCCCCTGTCCCCCGCCTCGCCCTCCAGGCGGGCAATCTCCGCCTTGAGCTTCTTCACCTCGCTACCCAGCATGTCGTTGCGCTCCTTCAGCCGTGCCACGTGCTTCTCCTTCTCCTCTAACTGCATCCGCAGCCCCCTCTCCGCCTTGCCCACCGCCTGCTGCTCCTGTACCACCTCCTCCCCACCACCGCGCTCACTCTGCCCGCCACCCGCCTTCTTCAGCTCCTCAACCTGCGCCTCAGCCTGCTCGCGCTTCTCCTTCTCCCTGCCCAGATCTTCCTTGAGATCACTCGCCATCTGCCTCGCCTCTGCCATCTCCCTCTCCTTCGCCCCCACCACCTCCTGCACTGCTCGCAGCTCCTCCTGCAAGCGCACCACCTCCTGCTGCTTGCCCTCCGCCTCGCCACTCGCTGCCCGCACGCTCTCCTCCATCTCCCCCACCTGCCTCTCCATCTCCGCAACCCTCTCCTCTGCGCGCTTCTTCTCCCCCTCCAGTCGCTCCACCTCCTCCTGCAACGTTCTCAAGCGCGCTGCACTCTCGACCACCTCCTGCTCCATCTCGCTCTGCCTCTGCTCCGTTGCCACCCTCCTCGCCTCCTCCTCAGCAGCCTTATCCGTCATTGCCCGCACCTCGCGCGCCCTTTCCGCCGCACTCTCTTCCACCGTCGCCTTCGCCCGCTCCACGTCCTCCCTCAATCCCTCCGCCTCCCGCCTCGCCGCGTCCCTCTCAGCAACCGTGGCAGCAGCAGCCTGCTGTGCATCACCCACCTGCTGCCTCACACTCTCCACCTCCTGCTCCAGCGCCACTACCCTCGCCTTCGCCTCCTCCCGCTCAGCCTCCACTGCGCCCAGCGCCTCCCTATGCTGCTCCCTAGCAGCCTCTACCTCAGCAACTGCTTCACTGAGTGCCGTGTCTGCTGCTGCCTTGAGAGCGCTCATCGCCTCCAGGGCATCTGCTGTCTCCTTCACCTCCGCCTGCAGCGCTGCCACCCGCCCAGCCGCTTCCTCCTGCCCGCTGCCTGCTGCCTGCGCCTCCGCTGCATGCTGCTCCGCCTCTGCCTGCAGTCGCGCCACCTGCGCCTCCATCTCCGCTAACCGTGCCTGCACCACACGCATGGGAGGGGCATGAGACGCAGAAGAATGCTGAACATGAGTACTTGGGTCGGCTGGCGAGCAGAGCAATAGAGGCATGCGCGCATGGAGAACGGAAGAGAAGTGTGGCTGGCAACAGAGCGAGCATGCTTCACTCCCCTGGGCTGCCTCTCCACACTAACACCTCCAGGTATTCACAGCCCACCACGGTGACCTCAAGCCAGGCCTGCAGGCAGGGCTAGTGGAGCAAACTGGATGTACATGCGTGAACGCAAGTGGGAGCCTCCACTTCCCCGTGCACACTGCCTCCTCCGCACCCCACATGTGCCCCCTTCATGCATCTCACCTCGGACTCCGCCAGTGCAGCTCTCAGCTGTGCAGCCACGCCCTGCTCCTCCACCAACTGCCTCTCCTTGTGCGCCACCTCCTCCTGCCGTGCCTCCCTCTCCGCCTCCACCGCGCCCTCTGCTCTCTCCCGCGCCTGCACTGCCTCCTCCACCGCCTGCTCTCTCCCCCGCCCCTCCTCCACCAGCCGTGCCACCTCCGCCTCCAGGTTCCTCACCTTCTCGCCGCCGCCGCCGCCGCCAACCTCTGCCCCCCTCGCCGCCGCCTCTGCCTCGCCCACAACCCTCAGCTGCTCGCGGTCCCGCTCGCCCTCTTCCACTCGCGCCTGCACGCCCTCCGCCTCCCTCTGGAGTGCCTGCACCTCTCCTCGCGCACTCTCCGCGGCCGCCCGCGCCTCCACCACCTGTGCGCGCAGCTCCGCCAAGTCTACCTCCAGGGCGTCACCCCTGGCCTTGGCAGCCCCACCCTCCTCCGCCAGAGCCTCTGCGCGGGCCTCTGAAGCAACCGCTCGCTCCGCCAAAGCCGCCGCCTCCTCTCTCTGCTTCTCTGCATCGTCTCGCCCTGCCTGCACTTGTTCTCGCAACTGCTGCACCTCTTGCTCCACCGCAGCCATCTCCTCCACCTTCGCCTGCACAGCTCTAGCATGCTCCTCTGCTGCTTGCCTTGCCTCCTCCACCTCCCCGCGTGCAGCATGCACCTGCGCCTGCAGCTCGCCCACCTCGCACTCCAGCACACGCACTCGCTCACTCCACTCCTCCGCCGCCCTCCCCATCTCCGCGCGCATCCCCTCCACCTCCTTCGCCAGCGCATCCGCCTGCGCCTGCCCTGCCTGCGCCTTGCCCTGCCACTCCGCGCTCTGCTCCTCCGCGCGCCTCACAGCCTCCTCCAACTCGCGCCTCACCCTTTCCGCCTCGCCCTGTACCTCCGCCATCGCCGCCTGAGCGCGCTCCAGCTCCTCCCGCGCGCGCTCCTCCTCTCCCTTCGCCTGCTGCGCCTCCCCCTGCGCCTTCGCCACCGCTGCTGTCAGCGCCACCACCTGCTCTTCCGCGCGCCTCACCTGCTGCGCCGCCTCCTCCTGGCCCTCCGTGCCTGAGTGCCCCTCGCTGAGGTGCAGGAGCTGCGTCTGAGCGTCCTTGAGCTTGGTCTTAAGCTCGTCTCTCTGCTTCTCCATCTTCTTCCCCATCGTCATCGCCTTGCTCAGCCGCTCCCGCGCCTCGCCCTTCTCCTTCTCCGCGCGACTCACCTCCGCGCGCAGCTCCTGCACCTCCTGCTCGCGCGCGCCCGCGCCCCGCGCCACCTGCGCGGACACCCGCTCTGCTGCATCCAGCAGCCCTTCCATGCGGTCGTCCACCCATGCCTCCATGCCGCCCCACGTCCCCACCGCGCCCTCGCCCTCCCCCTCGCTCTCCGCGCCGTTGCTGCCTGCGTCCTTGCTGCCGCCAGCAACCGCCGTGGCAGCGGCGAGGGCGGAGGCGAGGTTGGCGGAGAGCGCAGCGAGGTGCGGGCGCATGTGCGCCTGCAGGGACGCCAGGCGCTCGCGCACCTCCTCGCCCTGCTGCGCTGACTGCCGCACTGCCGCCTCCGCTGCTGCCAACCGCGCCTCCAACTCCCGGCGCTCCTCTGCGCACACACATATGCATGCACGGGCACACGCATCAGGAGGGAACGCGGAAGGCTGAGAGGGCAATAAGAGGAGCAGAGCATGAAGGCGTGGAACCAGGGAGAACGAGAGGGGGAAGTGAGAGCGCACGCATGGTGATGAGGCAAGAAGAGGATGCAGCGCCACACGTGGCGGGCAGCGGAGCACGCACCCAAGGCAGCAGCCAGCTTTCCCTCCGCCTCCTTCTCCCGGCGCACAGCAGCGTCCGCGCGCGTCTTGGCCTTGCTGGCGTCGCCCTCGAGCGACAGCCCCTTGATCTCCGACGCCGCCAGCTTCTTCCCCACCTCGCGCGCCTTCTGCTCCGCCTCCTTGGCGCGCCTCTCCGCGCCACTCAGCTCCTCGCGCAGCGCCGCCTGCTCCGCCACGCGCCTGCGCTCCGCGGCGTCGATCTCGCCCATCATTTCCTGCTGCACGCGCACCATGCGCACCGCCAGCTCCTCCTCCATCCGCGCCAGCCGCTCCCGCGTCTCCGCGTGTGCCGCCTTCTCCGCCGCCAGCTCGCCGCCCGCCGCCTGCAGCGCCTGCTCCTTGCCCGCCACGGCCTCGCGCAGCGAGTCGCGCTGCTGCACCGCCTCCTTGCCGCGCTTGATCGCCATCTGCAGCTTCTCCCGCAGCACCCCCACCCGCTCCTCCGCCTTGCTCTGCTCCGCGCGCGCCTCCCCCACCGCTGCCTTCGCCGCCTCCGCCTCCGCCTTGATACGCTGCGCCTCCGCCTCTGCCTCCTGCAGCCGCGCCTGAAGGCTTGCCACGTCAGCATCTGGAAAGAGTGACTGGGAGGCGTCGTCGTTGGCGGGCGGCACGTGGTGCTCGGCGGCGTGGTGCCTGAGCTCCTGCAGCTTCGCCTCTAGCGCGTCCCTCTGTGGCTTGTCCAACGCCGCCTGTGGGGACAACATGCACGCACACACACACACACACACACACACACACACACACACACACACACACACACACGCACGGCACACACGGCACACACGGCACACACGCGCACACGGCAAACCTCCCAGGAATGGTGGTTAAAGAAATGCTGTCAGGACGAGGCTTGAGAAGGGGGCAGGAGGGGGAACGGGGCGGGGGGATAGGGAGGGGAGTGGGGGGGTGGGTTGCAGAGGGGCACGACATGCAACAAGCACATATCCCAAGCACCAGCCCCACTCCATTCCCCATCCCCCATCCACATTTCCTTCCCCCATCCGCTCAACCACCCTGGCCCCGGCCCCCGCGCCACCCTGTTCCCCCCACTACCCCCCATGCGCGCACCTGCGCGATGAAGCCCTGCGCCATGCTCACGAACGCGCGGCTGCGCGCCACCAGCGCCGCCGTGCGCTGCCCGCTGCTGCCGCCGCTGCGCACGCTGGACGGCGACCCCGTGGGCGTCTGGAAGTCGCCGTCGCCCGCCGCGTCCTCGCCGTCCGATGGCGCAAAATCGACGGACACGGGCGCGAGAGATGGCGGGACGTCCATGGCTGGCGATGCGGATGCGGAAGATGCGGCAGCATTGGCTGCGGAAGCAGAGTCCGATGGATCGAGGGGGGCTCCGTCGCTCGCCCTGGACACGTCGACCACTGCGTCGGGTTTGGCCGCCGGATCGTGCTGCTGCTGATGTTGCTGCTTCTGCTGCTGCTTCTTGCGAAACTCCTCCAGCTGCCAGAGATCGGGGGAAGAGAGGCGAGCGCACGCACGACAGGGCAAGGGAGAAGCATCATTCACGGATTGGGTTACAAGACACGTCCATGGATGCACGACTGCAGTCGCTGACATGGCTTCTGCGCGAATTTAATGCGCGCAGCGGTGTGAGGGAGTGGCCGACGCGAGCAGCAATGGGAATGAGACAAGATGATCAACGCGTGATGTCGAATTGACGGGAATGGGGGTACGGCGGATAGGCGTCAATGCAGGGCGATACAAGGAGCTGCAAGGGCCGGCGCACGCACCCGTTTCTTGCCGGCGGTAAGCAGTTCCTTTCTACCCTTGGTAGACTCCATGTCCCATTCAAATCACAGTTCCCACCACAGCAATCGCGCAAGGTGCCGGATTTACGCGTGCGTCGGGCGTGTGATCATTCCACCTGCGCAGACGACGCTGCAATTACCAGCAGATTCCGATGCCGCTCGCAATGTCGTACCTTCCTACCCACAATTTAAAGCTCGCGTCTCATATTTCTACTATCCAACCAAGTGTTAAACGGTTGGAATTTGGTAACAGCAACATCCCCTGGAGAGTACAAACATCCCAACAACTCCTACCCTCGGTTTCTGTTCCTGTGTTTCCCGCCAACCTTGCTGTGTGCATCTCGAGCTTACCTCTCGGATAAACCCGTGTTGTGTCAGCAGAGTACGGTGCATGAAACTTATAATCACATAATACAATGTACAGTGAAGAAAGAAGCGCAATTGCACTCTCCAAAGCTCACACTTAGGTGTGAACGCTATGATCCAAATATCGATAGGTGTCCCACTGACCAGCTCGTGCCCCACATTCATATTGTGGTAGGTAGATTACTTCTACGCCACAAGCAATGTCAGAATTCTTCTTGTTGGCCCAGAATCCCTTCAAGCACAGGCCAGATGCGAACCCAAAACACTCGCGAATTGAACAGCCCGACTGCCAGCAGCAGCATAGCGTACACTGCCATCAGGTTCACACACGCGTCACGCCGCCCTCCATGCCCTCGCCTGCACACCTCTCTCCCTGGCGCAAATGTGCCCCTGCCATGCACCGCTTGACCAGAAACGGCATTGCCTTGCCTCACGTCTCTGCTCCCCAGCCCATCACCAGCCCTTCTCCCCATCCCCTCGCCTCCCTCAACCACCTCACTTAATGCCGAAACGCCTTCCCTCAGCACACTAGCTGGTCCTGCGGCCCCACCTGTTGCTGTGCCTGCATCCCTTGGCATTCCAGAGCACTGCGCTGCTGACTGGCTTTCCATGGCACGTGTGCCTATCCCCGTGCCACCACGCACCACACTCTCACACACTCCACAGCTCTGCCCTCCGCATTCCGCCCTGCCCCGCTCTCGTGAGTCCAGCACACATGCTGCTTCACCAGACGCAGCAGTGGCAGCTGGCAAGGAAGCCAGGTGCGCGGCACAGGAGGGTTTATCTAGCAAGCGTTGCTGAGTGCAGGGGAGGGAGGACGGCAGAGGAGTGGAGGAGGCAGCAGCAGTATCTAACACTGAGGCGGGTGAGCCTGCATGGACTGATGGAACTGACGAGGAGCCAGGAGAGACACTTGGTGATGGCAACGCTGCTGCTGCTGGTGGTGATGCTGATGCCGGAACAGTGTGTTGCACAGGTGACCCGGCAACTAAGGGCGGTGAGGGGTGCAGTGGAGGGGTGGCAGCAGGGGCAGTGGTGTAGACCATGATGTAGCGGATGCGCAGCATGCAAGGGTTCTCCACCACCACGTATGTGCCCAGCTGCTGCTGCTGCCTCTCTCCTACAGCCTGCTTCTCTGCGCCTTGCTGTGATTCCACCTTCCCACAAGCAGGAGCAACAGGTGAGGGGGCGGAGCATCTGACGCCATGGCCTGTGATGACTTCACACAGCAGCACAAAGCGCGGTGCCGCACCCAGCTCAGACCACTGCCACCCACCCAGGGCAGGGGAGAGCGGGCCGGTGCTTGATGAGGGGGGAAGAGAAGGCGGGGCAAGGGAGGGGAGTGCGTGAGTGGCGTCGGCGGTCTGTGAGAAGGTGAAGGCGACGGTGGGGTCGGTGGAGAGGTAGATGCCCTCCCCGTGCATGCTGCCATTGCGCTGCAGTGCCGTGCGCGACAGGTTCAACAGCCCTGCGCCAGGGCCGGGGAGGCGAGGGGAGGGTGCAAAGTGCGGTCATCAACGCAAAGGAGATATTCGAGCAGGCCAGAGGCGGGGGCAGAGGCATCTCAGGAAGGCATTGAGGATACAGAAAGGAAGTGGGCACGTGAGGGGCATGGGACAAGAGGAGGTGGGGGCTTTTGTGCGAATGCGAGTGAGTGGTGGTGGTGGAGAAAGGATTGGCAGGGCAGCGGTGTGTGGGGGATCAATACCGCAGCGCAGGATGCCGTGCATGTTCTCCGATGGGGTGCCGTGGAACGCCATGATGCTTCCATGCGCCCTCGCCATCGCCTCAAACCCATCCCCGCTGCCATTGCCGCTGCTGCTGCCACTGCCCCCTCCCATGCCTCCAGCACCCGTGGCCCCTACCGGGCCATGTGCAGTGGCAGTGGGTGGCGACGATCCCACGAGCTGGAAGAAATGGGGCGGACAAGTGAGGCATCGCAAGGCAGAGGGGCACAGAGTGGGAGCATGGGTGCAAGAGAATGAGGCATGCAGGAAGCTGAGAGACGTGTACGGGCACACAGTGTGGATGAACAACCACAAGGGAGATGCAAGGCACACGAGGAAAGAAGCAACCTCCAGCAAGCCCCACCTCCAGCAAGCCCCACCTCCAGCAAGCCCCACCTCCAGCAAGCCCCACCTCCAGCAAGCCCCACCTCCAGCAAGCCCCACCTCCAGCAAGCCCCACCTCCAGCAAGCCCCACCTCCAGCAAGCCCCACCTCCAGCAAGCCCCACCTCCAGCAAGCCCCACCTCCAGCAAGCCCCACCTCCAGCAAGCCCCACCTCCAGCAAGCCCCACCTCCAGCAAGCCCCACCTCCAGCAAGCCCCACCTCCAGCAAGCCCCACCTCCAGCAAGCCCCACCTCCAGCAAGCCCCACCTCCAGCAAGCCCCACCTCCAGCAAGCCCCACCTCCAGCAAGCCCCACCTCCACCAAGCCCCACCTCCACCAAGCCCCACCTCCAGCAAGCCCCACCTCCAGCAAGCCCCACCTCCAGCAAGCCCCACCTCCAGCAAGCCCCACCTCCAGCAAGCCCCACCTCCAGCAAGCCCCACCTCCACCAAGCCCCACCTCCACCAAGCCCCACCTCCAGCAAGCCCCACCTCCAGCAAGCCCCACCTCCACCAAGCCCCACCTCCACCAAGCCCCACCTCCACCAAGCACTGTGGCAACACATTGCGCCCCCCAGCTGCAGCTGGCGATGATGTCAGCATGCCCATCTGCCATGACGTCAGCACCTTGGCCAACGTGCCCTGCACATCCCCCACCTGCACCACATGCAACCGCCCCAGCTGCCTACCCCCCTGCTGCCCTGCACGCCCATCCTGCTGCTGCTGCTGCTTGTCCTGGGAGACGGCATGGTGGAGAGTGGGTGTATTCGCGCCTGGAGCGGCGGCGAGTGAGGGCGGGGAGGGCATGAGGGGCGAGAGGACCCATGCCAGCAGGCGGAGGGCAGGCACGGGCATGCTGCTGTGCCATGGGGGCGCTGCTGCTGCTGGCGAGCACCCACATGCACGCACACAGGGCGGAGGTGTGCAGGCGCACGGACACGCAGCAGCACGGGAAGCATCCCGGGCAGCACAGGGTGCATGAGCAGCGGGGGCGTGCGTAGCATGGGGCTGGCAGCACGGTGGGGGGGCGCGGGAAGAATTGGCGATGGCGGCGATGGGCGGCAGCAGCGCGCAGCAGCGCAGCGCGGCGGGGAAGTCCTTGTCGGGGAGCGGGCCGGGCAACGTGAAGAGCGACGAGGGGAAGGGCCGACACACTGGGGGGAGGGATGAAAAGGGGGGAGGAGACGATGGGTGGGCGGGGGAAAGAGACGGTGAGGGAGGGGATGAGCGGTGATTGCATGCAGACGGAGCATCTAGTCATGGCCAGGCAATCTTCCATCGACGTGCCCGTTTCATGACCATGCCCACACTCACTGCACCCACCACCTCCTCCCTCACCCACCCTGCTCTTCTCCGCCTTTCCCCTCGCTGCCTCACGCCCCCCTGCGTCCCTCCCCCTTTCTCTTACGGCATGCGCGCACCTGACGGGCGGCGGTATGACTGCAGCGAGAGCACGAACGCCGTCACCAAAAGGTCCGCGCCGGCAGGGGACGCGGCGCAGGCGGCCTCGATGGCGCGAATGAGCGAGTGCGACTCGGAGCAGGCCATGACAGGACGGCAGGAGGGGGAGGGACAAACTGCACGGATTGGCGACCTACGGGATACAGTTGTGGAGTCCCCACCCAACTGTCGCTATTCTGCTTATTGAACTTCTGTCATCCATGCCACAGATCAGGGCGGTGTTCTGTTGCCGCACCACTTGATGCGGGGGCGGTCAGGACAGCACCGCATCACATGGTTCACCATCAGGAACTTCCGCGAAACAACAGACCCGGTTGGTGCAACGCAGCATCATGCCGCACCACTTGATGCGGTGCCTTGATCCCCCCTCTGACCCTGAACCAGGCCCGCACCAGTCCCGCACCCATTTTGCCTGGGAGTGGGGGATTACGAGTGCGTCAGTGGTTCACCGTTCTTTTGACTGGACGGACTGCACTGCACTCGTTAGGTCCGGGAAGAGGTTCAGTTTCTCGAGCCTAGAATCAAGAAATACGCCCTCATAAATGAAGCTCGCAGGATCTCCGGTGGAACCCCGGAAGAAGCATCAAACTGGTGCAGTGCGGAGGGGTACGGACCAAGTGGTGCGGCAACAGAACAGGGCCCAGTTGCCTACCTGGGCCCGCAATAGCTCGGGAGTTCAGAGCGGTACTAATTCATCGCAGCCCAACCACTTCGTGTACCTATGGCTCGGCTTCCATTCCAGGACGTTAACATTTCTTACTACATCTGTACGGTATTCTTTGCGTGCTGATTGCTCATTCCAGAATATGTTACTGCTATGTCCCGAGTTCTTATCGAGTGTTCTGATGGCGAATATTTCCGACGTGGCTGGTGCCTTTCGCTGGAAGCCTGTGCGTCAAGCACCAAAATCTTGTCAACGTCATCAAGGCTACTGGTGGCCAGCTTGATCCGTTCGATGAGCATCGCGTCTCTCCCGTGGCGCTGAGATCCATCCTGCGTGAATGAACTCGAGCCACGTCGAAGGCCAAACGGCCTCGCGTTACCAGCAGCAAGTCTTACGTGGCGCTACGAAACCCGACGATTTCTTGTGCAGCTTCCTGCTCCAGTTGCATTTCTGCAATATCAAGGCGGGAGATTCGTTCATCTCGTACTATCACAAATCGTAGTGTGCATACGACTTGAGTAAACCATTCATATCAATCTGACATCACATTCCCCTTCCCGGTCAGACACGTATTTATTCTTCGCACTGTAATTTCCACCATCAATCTTCCCACGCATTCGGCACCACTCCACAACTCTCACACATCACGGTGCCCACCCACACTCGACGCGCAACGTCATCATGGCTGCAGCGACCTCCTCCCTCGGCGCCACTTTCCCCGTGTCATCCCTCTCAGCGTCCTCCTCGCTCGCATCCGCCGCACCCCTCTCACAATCTACGGCAACAGTATCCGTCGCCGCGCCTAGATGCGCATCCCTCGCAGTGCGCTGCGAGCAGCGCACGCCGGAGACGGCTGACGTGTCTCGGCGCGGGTTCTCGATGGCGGCTGTGGCTCTGCTGATTGCGCCGGCCATGGCGGCGTCGCCGGCGCATGCGTTGCTAGAGGCGGACGACGACACGGACCTTCTGGAGCGGATGAAGCGCGAGCGTAAAGAGAAGATCGAGTTGCGCGAGAGCCGCGGCACGTATAAGGCCGAGGAAGGTGCGTTGGCCACTGTAGAACACGATTGCAGCTGACAGACTCATGTTCCCAGCTCGCTTCCGCCGTTGCGCAGCGCTCTCATGCCGTCTTTGCCGCACTGTAAAGGCTCGGTGCGGTCCCGAGAAGGAGCTGTTCCACGAAAGTGTCGAGCGTTACTGCTGATCAGTCCATCTGGACGTGTGACAGTATAAGCGACCTCTTCGCGTGTTCCTCGGTCCGCGCTCTGATGCCGTCAATCCAGCCAGTCGTTGTCCCAGGCTTCATCACATCTTCCGTGGACTCACATTCTCTTCTTCCCCCGTGTCTTGCGCGCTGTCCTCCCTCTCCCCCCCCCTTCCGTTCCCCCTCGCCAGCCGACATTCAGGCGGCGGTGTACGGGCTAAGCAAGGTGGGCGCGGCGCTGGAGGCGGGCAACAGCAGCGCGGCGGCAGCGGAGCTGTCAGCGGGATGGGTGGCCAAGGCGGACGCCGCCATCTCTAAGGTAAGCTCGCTCGCTGATATCCGGTGCTGAGCTTGGCAATGTAAATGCGCTCTGAAAGTTGGGACGTGTTTCACAAAGTGCTACTAAAAAGTCACCTGAGTGCAATTTCGTCTCATAGAGTCACGCGTCGTCATTTGCACGCATTGTACGTGCCCTCGTTTTTCGACCACGACTCTGTGCTTCTCCAGTCGGTTTTCGCAAATGGAAAGCCAATAAGGATGGCTCTCCAGCTTAATGCATCACATGCGTTCTTACCCTCTCTTCCACTATCACGTCGCCTGTCATGCTTACCCCATATGCCCACTCACGTTCCTTCCATCCCCTGCTCCTCTCTCTCCCCACCTCGCTTGCCTCTCCCCCGTGGCTCGTGTGCTGCGACCCCTGCAGATCAGCCGCTCTGACGCCGAGAAGTCCCTAGCGGCGGACTTCCAATCCGCCATCGCCGCCCTGCAGTCCGCTGGTACGCCGCTTTCCCTTGCTCTCTCCCTTGCTCTCTCCCTGCCCCTCCTCCCTGGAACTTTCCTTCGTTCTCCTGTCCACATCTCATGACCCCACACTTTGTTCTCTTAGATTGATCTCATGACACCCTCGTCCACACCACACCCAATCAACGCCCGCGGCATACCGTTTTCATCTGAATGTCCTTGTGCCCCCTCCTCCAACCAGCTGGAGCGTCGGACGTGAAGGGTGCCAAGAAGGCGTTCCTTGCGGCAGCATCCGCCCTTGAGACATGGGCTAAGACAGCCGCACTGGACGGGGAGCTGCTGGGGCTGTGAGGGGAGAACCGCTAATAGATTGGTGACCAAGTGCATGTTTGAGAAATGAATTGCCTGCTAATGCAGGTTTTTGTTACAGTTTTGAAATATCTGCAAGTCAGTGTGCTCGTATAGCTGATGTATCGCTAAGCAAAACATTCAAAATCAAGATCAACTTGTTAACATACTCATTCAAATTTGTAGCACAGTAGTCTTAAGATAGGCTAGGAGACAAGTGTCGAGAGTAATGTTTGAGTAAGGAGGGACAAGGAGATGCAAATGTCGACCTAAAGTGTTGTACCCTTTAGAGGGCAACTCACAGTAGCCTATCTAACAATATATAGAATATATAAACATTTGACACACCCCCATAGGCTAAGTGAGGGGCATCAAAACAACCAACGGAAACAAGGGGTCACAAGACCAGTCAAGAACAAGCATAAAAAACAAAGCTCAGGGTGGCGCTCAGAGTCACCACACACTCCGAGCACAAGCAAGTGGCCACAAGGCCAGTTCAAGAGTTTACTAGTATATATAGAAGCACAACAAGTAGAGCAAACAGCAAGTCTACAGCAACCGAGGGCCTACCTCAACAAGCCCCAACTGCACACAGAACCTGTGGTGGTCACCAGGCGCCAAGGCCTTGGTGAAGACGTCGGCAGTGTTGGCCTGTGAGGCCACAAAGTCCAAACGTGCCTGACCGCGTCGCTGCAACTCTCGCAGGAGGAAGTACCTCACGTCAATATGCTTCACTCTGCTCTCCAGTCGAGGCTCTCGACACAGGAGGATCATGGCCTTGTTGTCAGCGTACAAGGTCGGTGCAGAGCGAGGCCGCTCACCAAGGTCGGCGAGCAAGAAGGTCAACCAGCGAAGCTCCTGTGCCGCCATGGCACCAGCGTAGATCTCTGCCTCTGCACTGGAAGTAGCCACAGACGACGACCGTGTAGACCTCCACGACACAGCACCAGCTCCCAGACTGAAGCAGTAACCCTGAGTCGAACGCTGAGTCTCCACGTCGTCAGCGTAGGAAGAGTCGCAGTGACCAGTCAACGCCACTGGCTGAGTCCCTCCAAGCACAAGCCCCATGCCTGATGTAGTCGCCAGGTACTTCGCCACCCTCACAGCAGCTGTCCAGTGGACAGGGCGGTGTCTCCCAGTCGCAACAAAGCGAGAAAGGATGCTGAGTGGAAAGGCGAGGTCCGGTCGAGTACAAGTCATCAGGTACATGAGGCAGCCCACCAGCTCTGCGTAGGGTCCACTGGACTCAAAGGGCTCGTCAGGAAAGGGGCCCGTGAGTCTGTGGTCAACAGCAAGAGGAGTGGGCTGTGTGGTGGAGAACTGGAAGTCGAACCGCCGAAGGATCTGCTGCACCATGTGTGACTGCGTCAGTGTGATGGTGCGAGCGGCTCTGTCCCGGGTGATCTGCAGGCCAAGGTAGCGCTGCAGCTCACCCAGGTCAGTGCACTTGTGTCTCTTCTGCAGTTCGGACTTCACCTGAGCCAGGGCTGCCCTGTCTGCTGTAGCAAACACCAAGTCGTCGACATAGACAAGGATAAAGAAAGGAGTAGAACCCGCTCGAACAAACAGCGACGGGTCGGCGGAGGACGGGCTGAACCCAAGGTCACGAAGCGTGGAGCGAAGAGTGTCGTGCCACTCACGGGGCGACTGGCGGAGACCGTAGACTGGTCGCCTCAGGCTCCACTGGGCCCCAGGTGGGAAGGTGTCAGTGAAGCCAGGAGGACGGCGCAGCCAGATCTCCTCGTGTAGTCAGCCCTGGAGGAACGCAGTGGAGAAGTCGAGGGAGTGCAGCTCGTAGTCTCGCTGCGCTGCTATGTGGAGTAACACCCGAAGAGTAGTCATCTTCGGGGTCGGGGCGAAGGTCTGGAAGAAGTCAACTCCCTCACGCTGACTGAAGCCCCTAGCCACGTAGCGCGCCTTGAACACCGGCGGTGCTCCAGGCGGCCGCTTCACCTTGAAGAGCCACATGCCATCGACTACGTTCGCCCTGGGAGGGGGAACTGCGTCGACGTAGGTGCCTGTGGATCTCCAAGACGCCAACTCTGAGTCCATAGCCGCTTTCCACTGAGAGGCCCACGCCCCTGACACTGCCTCGCGGTAAGTGCGAGGAGTCGGTATGTCAAGGGCGTCGGGGTCTCCCTCAGGGGAGAGCAGCATGGCACACACAGAGGGAGAAGCGGCTGCCCAGTACTCCAGCTCAGACTCTCTGTCCTCTAGGACGTCACAGCCAAGGGCAAACCCACCCCCGACGGACAGAGGACGGTAGGGAGGAGCTGGCACCACACGGGTGGCGTAGTCAAGGTGGCTGGCGGCAGCAAACTCAGCGACAGCGGCAGTAAGAGCCGAGGCAGACGACGGAGGGAAACGAGAGTCGGTGACAAGAGTGGCGAGGACACGTGCGGCAACAGGACGAACAACGCGGTAGTAGTCAGAGATAGGAGTGGGGA